CAGCGGGTGGTGTAGCATGTCAGCCATGCACTGGGAGGCCCGTCGCCGTCAGCAGGTGCTGGACCGCAGATTATCTGCTAGCGTTATGCAGGTGCCCATGTTAAAAATCCTAATTGTATATATATATTCAATTGTAATATATTTTTCATATATATAGCTTGGATTTGTATTGCTTTTTTAGGCAGGCAACCAAGATAAAAAGAAAGAAGAGTCTATGGCACCTATGACACCCTGTGAGCCTGCAGTGTCCAGTGAGTCTCAAGGTAAAGCTGCTCAAAATAACAGGTCATTGCATATCATTGAGAACATAAGAGTCACCACTTTACAGTTGACTGAATTTAAATGATTAAAAAACAAAATTAACAAAATATGGCATCCTCAGTGTAAACATATTATTTGTGTTCTTTAGAGGCTGACAAGCAATGCATTTGCAAGTGTCATGACAAGATGAACAAAAGATACACAGTGAGTACATAACCGCATCATTTTTAGAGAGATTGCAGGGGTTAAATTTAAACATGTGTAACTCGTTTCTATAATGTATCAGTGAGATTCAACAATTCCAGTGGTGGGCATTATCTATTTAAATATTTAACTTTACTATTTTGACTATATGGCAATGCGAAATATCACAGTGAATAATTAAAGAGCTTATAATGTGGAGACGATCCAGAAAACGCAGCATCTACATGTGTGCTTCATTTGCTCTAGTCTCTGCAGTATTCCCAGCAATGGTGAAGATGAAGGCCAGACCACTGGATAGCACCAACTCCAATATCAAGGTGTATTTCATCGAAAAACCAGACTTTATTGTTGGGTTTAATAATCGTAATTAAAACAGAACCGGGTGTCTAACAGTTCTGGTTGGATTTGCTCAAGAATTCTCAACAAATAAAATGCAGGCCATTTAATGTGCAATTTCGTGTTGTGCCAATTTTAAAACACATTTATATCATGTAAACACTAATTAACAAATCGACATACAAGAAAAGTGGTCTACGTTAACAATGCACATTCATGGTTCCAGTGATATTTACATTGTATCATATGTTACTATCATTATAGTCAAAAACCATTTAAAAGAACTGTAGTAAACTATACTACATATATATATATATATAAACTATAACATAAAATGGCAATCTTTTTGAAAGCAGCCTATTCTGATTATTATAACATCAGCATTCATGGCCATACATTGGCAATTGTTTTCGTCTCAAAGCAGAGGAAAATGATGAGGTATAGTTGAATTCACTCCACAGTCAATATACTCATAGGCATCTGTAGACATCTGCTCTGAATGGGACAGGTAGGAGACTTTGATTGTCAGTCTGTGAAGAAAAGAAACAATTTTACTTGAAATAATAAAAATATAAGCATCAAATTAGCATATTAGAATGATTTCTGAAGGATCATGTGACACTGAAGACTGGAGTAATGCCTGCTGAAAATCACATGAAATAACATGAATAAAACAGAAAGGAGTGGCTTTAAAATGACCCCAACTTGAACAGTAGTTTATATATTTTACTATGGCGTGTATTGTTTTATGTCATACACTTTATAACCTATACAATTTCAATATAGACCAAAGTGCACAAAGTTCACATGACTGACAGTCGGGGGAAAAAACAACATCTCACTTGGTTTAACCACTGTGACAATTTCTGTGTCATGACCTATGACAAATTTGAGTTGTAAGGATTTTTACAAAAACTGATCTCTAGAGAACATTTCATGGTACATGAATACAATAACTTATGCTTGTGAGGTCTAAAACAGTGGTTAGGGAGCCTCTGCAAATTTCTAGGTTGTTGAGGCCCCCTAGTGGTCTTCATCCACCTGCATGAGAACCAACACTGACAAGCACAAGCAATTGTATGTGACGTCAGTCATGATTACAAGCATGTGTCATGCCTAGATGAACATCGCTGCATATTTCTTTAGACCGACTGCAGTGGCTAAATGTAAACTTGTTCCTATAATGTATCAGTAAGATTCAACAGATCTAGTGACTAGATATTATCGATTTAAATATTTAACTTTACATGGAATACAGACTGTTACTAGCTGTATACTAGCTGTAGAACTGTTTTATTTTGTCCAGCTGCTCTATATGGCAATGTACAATATCAGTGACTGCTGACAGTTCTGTCAAACATGATTTAACATTACATGTGGATTGAAATACAAGTCTTTTGTTGAATAAATACTGATAGTGAATAGCATTAGATACAAATACGTCAACAAATGCTGACCAGTGTTCGGTGATTCAGTCAAATAGCATGCTAACAAAAATAAAATAAAGCTGCATACTTTGATAAGATAAAGATGAATACTTACTGCAAATGCAAGAATAAGGTGTGAATCTGAAAGGAACGTGACTTGCAGTAATTACTGTGAAAGGAACAGACATTAATGAACGTTTTTAAGTATATTGTGTGTATTTGAGAGTTCATGATGTCATATACATTGGGATTATAATGGAAAACAGTACATAATAATTAAAAGACCTTATTGATAAAGATATGACTTACTTAAGGCCAGAGTCATCAATAACAATGTCAGCTATAACTTTAATCTGAAAGATGAAAGAAAGATGAATGACATCTTTATTTTAGATTTGTGTTGATTGTGAGGATTAGAAACTTTAAAGAAAAAATTCTTCCTAGATTTCAGATGCCTTTTGTAACGCATTTATGTTATACAAGTTTGCATAAAGTTTTACCGTTTTCTGTGATCGAGGAGGCAGTATGGTGACATCGGGCAACTTGTTGTTGCCAACCACCGTCTCGAAAATGAATGATTGCACACTAAGATTATTAGCTGTGATACCGACAAAGTTTTGGTTGGTAAGGTTCATTTCGTGCTGAAGAATGGATAATATGGACAGAGGATTACAAGTTTTATACAAAAATAAATACACTGCAATTCATCAGGCAAATCTTAATGTGTTCTTTATATACTCGCTTACCGTGATCACCATTTTTACTGTATCTGGAGTGAAATAGACCATAGATGACTTTAGTTCTACAGATGACATATCCATACTCCGTGGGAAGAGGAAAAACAGGATCAGGGAGCAGATCAAGAGGCAAAGCCCCACTGATATAAACACATACAGTTTCCTGTGGGACATAAAACCATGTTGTACATCATTTTGAGAAAACTGACATTACAAAGCACATTTTTTAAATCCCTGAAACTGAAAATTAAAGGGAATAAATTAATTAAAGGATAGTCTACTTGTCATAGTGATACTGACGTGTGGTGAGGTTTCAGCCTTTGGTCGCTGCAAGGAATGACTGCCACAAGTTGGTTTTCCTGACCTGAGGATGTCAAGATAAGATCGACAGAATAAGGGTGAGTGTTAAAAGCCAAAACTACAAATGAAATGTTATTTGCAACCAATAATAAGAAAATTAGTAAATGCAGTTACTTCATGTCAACAGAATCACTGAAACTTGCCTCTCGGGATGCGTCCTGTGCCCTGGCAGGTAGGACATGGATCCGTGTGTCCTTCTCCATTGATGCTGCCATAGTCCAACCATTTGGAAAGCCTCCGCTTCTCTCCATTTTTATTCTGGGACATAATGCTGTATTTCCAGAAGATGAAGGGTCAAAACTAAAGACCTACGATAAACAGTAAGAGAGCTTCACTACGGTTTGTCTGTTGTTGGTAGGTACGTAATTGCAAAGAAAGTCTTTTACTTAAGGTTAGGGTGAAAGCGAGTGTAGAACATCCATTGTAGGTCCCACTGTAAAACTACAGTAAAATGGCCCCAAATGAACAATAAAACTCCAAAGATCATTATGAATTAATGTTTCATAATTTGATCAAAGACCTTAAATGGCACAGTTTCCGTGACATTAGTGCAAACATTTACAATTATATATAACCCAACGTTACAAACAATAACAACTATGATAGTTAAAGGTGATGACATTTTAAACTTATTTACCGTTAGTTAAGTTAATTTCGTCAAGCTGTAAAACATCAAAACAACACTGATGAAGTGAGCTGTCCTCGCCTAGAAAGCATTTGTAACCATTCAAGCTGACTCCAAACGCGTCTAGATAGGCAACGTTTATGCGTTTAAAACAAAGTCATAATATGTAAAACTAACAACATTTTAAGAGAGGAACAAGTGCACACTCAACCTCACAGAGTCAGACCGGTTTGGCTGTTTTAAATCACAAAAGACTGGGTGAATTAATGTCACTTTCCTTAACCAACGTCATGACACATTTTCTCGTGTCATAACATTACTAAATGCTTTTCCACCTACCGTCAATTCATCGAAACATTCTTGTTTGATATCTCGATTTACTGTTTCCCGCAGAGTAATGTCATTTGTTTCGTAAGTTATATTAGACACCACACGCAACTTTCCTTCAAGACTCGTGCATGAACTCTGGAGTGCGCACTCAGCTACTTCCCTCTTTGAGTCTCTTCAGCTGTCGCCATCTGCTGCTCAGAATCAATACTGCGTGTTTATGGACAATCGCTAGAGACAACAGCATTTTGCAGGGAATTGCATACTTAATTAAAAATGATTATATTGGAAATAATGTCAAGCCTTTGTAGAGGTTTTCTAAATGTGTTGTGTGAAGAAAGAAAATTAACAAATTTAGAATATTAAGAGAAGTGAAATTTATTTATTTTCTAAACAAAAAAATCCCAAAGGACTCCTATTAGATCTTCTTCTTCCAGTACACCATACAATATAATAGAATCCAGTAAGGCTCTGGGAATCGAATATAAAAATTATTTTACAATCAACAGAAATAGCAAAAACAAAATCTTGAGGGTTGGGGAATCTGTGCTCAGAGGAGGAAGCTGACTAAAGGAGTAACTATTTTAACCTTTAGAACATTCTGTTGTTTCAGCAAGTCCGATGCGTGTACATTAACCAAACAAGTTTTGCTGATTGGGGTGATTTTTACAATAGCAAGAAGATTCATGCTTATGCAATGCAAATAACTCAAACACACAGAAATGATAATGGAATGTTTTTTATTCACTGTGTTGGACACACAAAGCCATGTTGATAAGCCTTCAGTTCATAGTAATACATTGCACATGAAGATGACAAAGATGTCCAAAATTGGTGCCTAGCAAAAACTCTTGACCAATCGATCACTGGTTGTGTTAAGCATAACTAAAACACTCATTGCACATTCCTATAAGTTTGTCCTTAGTGTGACATAAGAATTAGTGTGATTTAAAATAAGATATACAAATATAGAGGTCACTGTGACAAATAACCAAATCAATACAGGCTTTTCTATTTATATCTTTCCTCTGAGAGGCAAAAGTGCTCAAACAAACCAAAACCCTCTGGGCATTGTCTCAAATTTATCCTCTTATCTAATCAAGCAGTACAAAAGATACCTGAAGCCTAGCTAACAACGGTCTATACGTGTTAGTAGAGCACACACACTGAATAAAGAAAGCATTAAGACTGCCTAATAAACCTTATGTTGTTTCCCCATTCATAATGTCCTATATAAACATGAAACTAAAATTTTACAATCAAGTAATTGCATCATTGCAGCTATGGTCAGTTATAGCGATACATTTCTCTTTTTCGAGTGTCCAAACTATTTCTCTAACAAAACAACATCAGAGATCATTTCATCATCACCCCACTCCTGTTCTGACAGAATGCTGCAACACGATGAAATCATTTACAATTCTTACACTTTATTGAGGTTGCTCGGTGCTTTCTAATGTCTTGAGATGTGCCATTCGCTGTCGGTCAACTGCACCAGCTCATTGACCACATCAAGCAAATTGTAGTGATGCTTCCTCAGCAACCGTTGATTGAGCGGCTGGTTACTGAAACCCATCTCCTGCAGTACAGCCATCATGGAGGCATCCTCGCAGGCTGGGTCAACAGCAGGCCGCTGAAAGACAACCAAACCAAAGTTAGTAGGTTAAAGGTCACTCACATGCCAAGTCTAGGATTTAGAGAAAATCCAGACTGTAGTACACAACGCATGATGCAGCTACCATGATTCAGTATCTAAAACACAGGACCATACAGTTCGCATACAGTTGTTTTCTAGAAATAGTATACTACTGTTCAAAGGTTTGGGGTAAGTAAGATTTTTCTGGAAAAAAATGTATAGTTTTATTTAGCAAGGATGCATTAAATTGATCAAAAGTGGAAAAGAAGACATTTATAATGTTACCAAATATTTCTATTTCAATGAAATGCTGTTCTTTGGAACTTTTTTTATTCATCAAAGAATCCTGAAAATAAAAACATTTAAAAATTAAGCAACACTTTTCAACATTGATAATAAGAAATGTTTCTTGAGCACTACATCTGCATATTAGAATGATTTCTGAAGGATCATGTGACACTGAAAACTGTAGTAATGGCTGCTGAAAATTCACAGGAATACAGTGGGGCAAAAAAGTATTTAGTCAGCCACCAATTGTGCAAGTTCTCCCACTTAAAAAGATGAGAGAGGCCTGTAATTTTCATCATAGGTATACCTCAACTATGAGAGAAAAAAGGAGAAAAAAAAATCCAGAAAATCACATTGTAGGATTTTTAAAGAATTTATTTGCAAATTATGGTGGAAAATAAGTATTTGGTCAATAACAAAATTTCATCTCAATACTTTGTTATATACACTTTGTTGGCAATGACAGAGGTCAAACATTTTCTGTAAGTCTTCACAAGGTTTTCACACACAGTTGCTGGTATTTTGGCCCATTCCTCAAGAGCAGTAATGTTTTGGGGCTGTCACTGGGCAACACGGATTTTCAACTCCCTCCAAAGATTTTCTAGGGGGTTGAGATCGGGAGACTGGCTAGGCCTTATTACTGTTTTTCATTCATTTTTGATCAAATAAAGCCTTGGTGAGCATAAAAGACTTATTTCAGAAACATCTTGCCGACCCCAATCTTTTGAACGGTAGTGTAATAAAAAGAAAGTCACTATATGGTGGCTGTTTATGCTCTGGTCTAGTGTGTTGTGCACTGATGAGGAAAAATATCTCACCTGTGCAGGTGTGCTCTGGCCTGTAAAGAGTGCTTTATAAGCAGAGGCAGCCACAGAGAGAGCTCCCTTCACCAGCCCCTCTGTCAGACCACCGTGACGTGCCCTGCAGAAGAATAAAAACAGAAACAAAAGGTTGTGTCATAATAGTAGCGTGCCAAAAAAACAGAAGGACTAGAGACATTCATGAAACCCTCATGAAGCAAAACGAAGAGAAACAGCTAAGTGAACATCCATAACTTGACCTAACTGTGTTAAACAGTGTGCATATTTAAAGATATTTTTTATATTTAAAAAAAAAAAAAAAAAGTGTTATGTTAACCATACTATGACAACAAAGAAAAAAGCTGTGGGTCAACCACAGGAAACATTGCCTGCAGAGCTACAACCGCTTCTGCTGCATGCAAGCTTTCAGCTTGAGAAAAAGGTGCATTAAAAAAAAACTACATTTAAGTAGATATTTAAAACCTGATCTTTCTCTCCTTCCTGAAATATATGCATCCTGAACTAAATATTATAATGTGATGCCTGTAATGCATGGAAGCAGAACAATAGCTCAAAAGGATGACCTCATGGTGTTGGTTTACCTGAGATCCTGGGAGCCGCAGGTCTCAAAGGCACTAACAGGGGCCTCTAAATGATCTGATCTGCAACCTAGGGCAAAGAACATTTTTTAAATGGCTCAAAGCTACATAACTAGTTTAGCTACACAACATTTAGTTAAAATGTCAAAGACAGTCTTCCTGACTATTTGAATAAAACAAGGCACAAAACTAAAGAAATATATGACCGCCTATAATAATAATAAACATTTAATAATTAAATAATCATTTTTACATCTCTTTGAATATATTTTTTAAATTGTATTTATTGCTTTTTCTTGGTGACTTCTTCATACCTCCTCACACTTTAAAAACTTTTAACCTAAAAATGCTTGGCACTACTTCCAAAACAATAATTTCACACACACACACACACACACACATACAAACAAAAAAAATTAATAAAACAATAATTAAATAAAAAGTCATTAGAATGTATGTTTATATTTATTTATTAGTTATTTATTTTTAAAAAAACAATTCAGCCAAAATTATAACATTGTATGACTGTTAACAGTTGCATACAGTCGAGAAACTTTAACCTAAGTTTGATTTATACTTTTTTTTTCTTCACACAACTGAAACCAAGTCTAGCTGACATGGAAACTCACCACTTGAGTCATCGTCAAGTTGACATGAGGTGTTGTCTTCAGAGGCCCCTGGTCCTGACTCAAGATCATGAGATCTCACTGATCTGCAAAAGAATCATGAAGCGTTTAAAACAAATGAAAGTCAGTGCATAATAATACATTGCATTCACTCTAGATTTTGAGGATTCTCTGAATTTTTTTTAACCTGTGGGTTCGAAGAGATGGGGCTGGCGAAAGAGCTATGGGTGGAGGTACCATCTCTGGAATTAGAGGAGGAGTGTCCAGTATCTGAGAGGTGCAGAGCATCCGGTTCAGGCTGTTTTGAATAGCTGGAACAGGGATGGGCTCCTTGTTTTCTCCTTCGGCCGTACTCTGGATTTGCCGTACCTCTGGCTCGTTGGCAAGAGGGACTGCAGGCTGGGACATTGCTGAGCTATACATCGATTCTCCCAGGGGCCTGGAAGTATCGAAGCAGTCAGGCAGGATGACAATGTAGTCCTCTGATGAGGCAGAGGACAACTGGCTGCTCACCTCATCCCACTCTCCTGCTTCTTCCTCTTTTTCTTGATCATTTTCTTTTTCATGTCCACTTTGTTCCACTTCCTCTTCATTCTCGTCCTGTGCAGCTGGGTCGGTATAGAGGTTTTCATTTGAGCCAATCAATGCTTCTGAAAAGACTGTGAAAATAACCAAGAGTAAATTGAAAGAAGGAACAGCTCAAGCAGAAAAGTTTACTATTAGCAAACCCAAGCGGAAGGGCACACTGCTTTCATAGTAACTGTTGCACTTTCAGTATGTCTAAGCGACAGTGACGTTAAAAAACAAAACAAAACAAACAACGAAGGAAGAACATGCGCACCTGGCATGGCAGGTTCCTCTGTTATAACTGGCTTTGGCACAGGGACTGGAGCCTCAGGCCTGTTTATGATTGCCAGAGGTCTGTCGTTCTTCACCAGTAATGATATCTCTTGAAAGCGAGCAGCATCATGAACTGTAAAATAATTAGAAGCTAAATTAGCAAAATGATAGTGGCATCTGAAATATCTATTGGACAAATAAGCAAAGCTCTGAGTTGAGCGAGCACTAATACAGCAGACGGAAGCTCACCGTCATGCCTCCTCATGTTGGGCCGAGTCCTGCGTTGAGGCTTGCGCTCTGGTTCCTCCTCAAGAGTGAGAGAGCGAATCACAGTCTCGCACACAAACTGGGTCCCACTGATGTCTTCATCTCCTTCCTCACTGCCAGGAACATCCAGAAGTTCATTCTGTCTCTGAGGCTGCAATGCTAACAGAGAACAAGCCACATCAGTATCAATAACCTGCCCATGATTCATAAACAGATCATTTTAAATCTGGTTGTAAAATGTAAAAAAAACAATTAGAGGTCATTTATCCTCCTGGTACATTGTTTGTGCTACTCTGAAGTTTTAGTAGAAAAGTAAGTGAGAAAAAAAAAGGTGTATTGTCATTTATTGGCAAAAGTCCTTCCAAGTTAATTTTGAACTACCGTTCAAAAGGTTGGGGTCAAGAAATTAATACTTTAACTGATCAAAAGCAACAATTAAGACACTCTTTTCTATTTCAAATAAATACTGTTCTTTTGTACCTTGTATAAATGAAATAATTCTGAAAAACTTTTCACATTTTCACAAAAATATTAAAGGGATAGTTGACCCAAAAATGAACATTGTCAGTAATTACTCACCCTCATGTCGTTTCAAACTCGTAAGACCTTTGTTCGAAGGTCTTACAGGTTTGGAACGACATGAGGGTGATTAATTAATGACAGAGTTTTCATTTTTGGGTCAACTATCTCTTTAAGCAGCACAAATATTCTCACCATTGATAACAAGAAACGTTTCTTGAGCATCAAATTAGCATTTTAGAAAGATTTCTGAAGCATCATGTGCCAATTCAGCTTTGCATTGACATGAATAAATTACATTTTAAAATATACTAAAATAGAAAACAGTTCAATATTACTGTTTTTATCAAGTAAATGCAGCCATTATGGGCTTAAGAGACTTCTTTCAAAAACATTCAAATCTCACTGACCCCAAACTTTTAAACAGTTTATACGTCAAATACGCATTTACGAGTTTATGAATAACTCTGCTTCAGTGCAGCTTTATAGGAACTATCCTGCTATTTAGTCATTACTTCGATATAATCAATAGGGGTTGTTAGATGCAACTACAAATCAGTAATTCAAATTCCACATAAGTTCAGGGTTCCCACTCTTTCATGAACGCCAGATTCAAGGACTTTTTAAAGCACCATTTATTTTATATCAAGCACCGCTCAAATTCAACTGCATATGTAGCGTCATGAAAGACCTCTTACAGTACTTAACTTTTCACTTACACTTAACATTTACATTAAAAATTTCAGAGTAATGAGGTTTTGAATGTGTAGGTTGCATAAATTTAGACCATTTTGAGCAGTCGTGTTCAAAGGAATTTTGAATTTCTCAAATATTGATAAAAATATATATTCTGGCATCAAACTTTTTGCTGTAATTCTTGTAAAAGATTTAAATTTGAAAGAATTTCTCAATTTTTAAATTAATAAAAAGTGGTTAAACAGGGCTCTATGCTTACTTTTCTTTTTAGGAGCACAGTCAAAAAAATTTCAGGAGCACCTTCTAATCAATAATCAAAAATTCTGATCCAATATTAGCCTTCCCAATACGAGATGATATTTGACTCAAAGTGATTTACAGGGAATTTTGTTTTTACCTTTGTAATGGCATTTTTCTAACTTTATTAAAATTGTCATCTTTTGTCAGATTCAAAATATTATATTTATAAGCTTTTTTTTATTATTTAATTAAAACAGAATAAAAACAAGTAGAATAAGAATAAGTTACCAATCAAATGAAATCAGTATTAAAAAATAATTTGTACTACAGAGGTGGCACAGAAGAACACGAAAGTAACTTGTAAGTGTATTTTCAGATGGTTTAATGAGGCTCTGCGGTCAAATGAGTGCAATTAAATTCATAACTTCATGTTGAGGTTAATGTTTTAAATATAAAATTTTGAATATAGAAATATTAAATGATTTAAATAACAGAAAAGATACTTTAAAATGAAAGTAAAACTGCCAGTAGGTGGCGGCAAGTCACTTATTTTAGCACTGAATCATTCATTCAATTGATTAGTTCGAACGGCTGATTCATTCAGGAACACGAAGCAAGTGACTCTTTATGAATGGGTAATTGAATCAGATTTGTTTAAAAACGCCCATTCATACGTAAACGAAACAACACTGTTTGAATGGAGATGCGCAGCGGCTCAGCTGTTACTTTGTTTGAAACTATTTTCATTGACGAAATAGAGCAAAATCAGGCAATAGTGTTCAGACAATGCAAGTCACTTAATATTAACTTCTTGTTTAATGAACTGTTGTATTAAATCAATATAATTTGCAAACTCTCTTAATCATTAAAAGATGTCACTCTCCTTCGTTCATCGCAATCTCACAAAGTTCCATTATAATCAACGCAGCTCTCTACAATTCACAGTGAATCTCTTATTTACACACCGTCTACACTTTGTTTGTTATAATGAGAGGATTCGTGAGCTTGCAGAACTCAGCACTGAACAAAACGGCGTTTTGAGCAGTGAGTGGATTCTGATTATTGTGTTCAAGGAATCAACAGATATGTCTGTGATACATTACTCACCGCTGCAAAAACACAGAAGTACGATAGAAACCTTTAAAGCTCCCCTCAGCGCAAACACAAATATGCTGACTGGGTCATTTGCACTGGTGCTCCTAAATATTTTTTCATAGTCGCACGCAGTATTTTTCAGTCACAAATGCACTGCTTCTCCATAGGTTCATGCAGGGCTGCGCAATGTGCGCATCAGCTCGCATGCTAAGATTTTTTCTCGCGCTACCCCATCTCCACCCCAATCATTAGCGCTGTTTCATTTTGCCTTTGACAGCACATATAGGAACATTTTTGAAATAGCACCATTCTACTAAACAAAATTTATTTCAAATTTATTTCAAGCACTTTCAAGGACCTATATTTGTTTTCAAGTACTTTCCAGGCCTTGAATCCATGTGTCCGATATTCAAGTACTTTCAAGAAGTGTGGGAACCCTGTAAGATGCTCTAACCTTGACTTTTTTTCCTGCCTGAATGTCCAGCCTCGATTTTGCTTAACCCCGTTCCATGCTTTCCAAACAAGGGTCCATGATGAGGAAGTGGAGATACACAGGAGGTCATATCTGAGGAAATTACACAATTACTCTAAAAATGAGGCCAGACTAATTATGCACATGACGTTGAGGAACAGACCCTGAGGAAATGTTACATAATTGTGACCAGAATGAGGCCTTACCAGCTGGAGTTTTGGCTGGGACTTTCTCTAATTCTTGCACAATGTTTATATCCAGCAACTCAAAGGACAACAGATCCTGGAAAACAACAAGACTTTGGACATTAGTTAAGCACACATCATTGAACAAACATAAGGTGGCGTCTTTGTGTCCGAAAAACGCACTACCTGTGCCGTCAATAAGTCCACAGAGGGGATGAAGTATTCTCTCCGGGAGCTGGTGGAGGCTTCACAATCTCTGGTGCCTGACCAGAACATGCCATCTTTCCTCACTAGACAAAGTTCGGTCCTCTAGAAGAGAAGATATTACAGTATTTGATCTCAGTTGGCATGACCGTTAACTCTTAAACCGGCAATATTTGAAAACATTAACGTACTGTGGCTTAAAGTTGACTCACCAGTGATTTGCTGCAGTGGGTTGGTTTCGGTTCAGCACTTGGCACCACCACAATGCTACACCACACTCTTGGCCCAAACTGCACCCCGCAGTGTGCCAGGCGCCAGTGAGACGTGTAGGTGCCCTCCAGCAGGGGTGCCACAAACGCCACGCTCACCACACCGACCTGACCCGGCTGCAGAAAGGGCACTGCGACTTCTTTTTGCTCCCGTGATCCCAGGGTCAGGTTGCCCCACATAAATTTCAACTACAAAAGACACAACACACATGCAAACGCAGCCCACGACATGTGTGGAGACACATTCTTTTCAAGCTATGGTGAGTTTCAAAAAGTACCTTGGTATCCGAAGTCCAGCTGATGTTGCCAGTGTTCCTCATCTTCCAGTACTTGATGAACTTGGTGCCTGGCTCCAGACAAGTGCCATCTGGTAGATTCTCATCCAGAAACATGGCAGTCATTGTGGGCACCAAGGTGGAGCAGGAGACCTTGGGACCCCTGGTTTGAGTGCACAGAGGATCGTCAGAACAGCTTTGTTTCAGCGTCTGTCTTTTCCTTGAAGCTCATATCAAAAAAAGTACAAAAAGGACGTAATACATAAAGGCAGCGGGTAGCATTTTGAGGTAGTTCCATCCACTTGCCAGCGATAACTCAACTATAACAGACAATGTGATAATCTTGATAATGATTGTTCTGGGCTGGGTAGGGAGGTCAACCCAGCCCTGACCCCTCTCAGTATGGCCCTTACTCTGGACTGGATGTTTGAGGGTCTGGGCACAGGGCCGGAGCTGGGGCTGATCCTGGGCCAAGAGATGTGCCGGGAGCGGGGGCAAGGCCCGAGCTGCTGGTCCCATTGGAGGCTCCACTCCACAGCAGACCTCTCTTCTCCAGCCTCAGCTTCTTCTTGATCTCCTTCACCTCGGCCTTCAGCTGCCTCCGCTCAGCTTTCAGCCGTTGTCTCTCTGCTTTTCGCACCGTCCTGTCACCCCGCCTCAGAAACCTGAGAAGGAGCCCTAATTAATTAAATTCAACTAGCAAGTTAACACCATTCAGGCTAAGGAGAAGATACTAGGGCTGGAATCATTTCTTGATCCTGAGGTGTTGGGAATCAAAACTCAATTTCAAATCGATGGAATTGATTCCATCAAAGGGAGCTGACTCCTCTTTAATAGCCTTTTTCAGTTCAGATTAGGTGAACATGTTAGGAATCAATTCTAGAGTTGATCCCAGAACCAGAAACTGGAATCAGATTGGTTTCCTAACATTTCGGATTTGAACAGCCCTAAAAAATACACAACATCGTGCTGAACACAAGTGTTTATTTTGGCTTGCCTGGGTTCCGGAGTAACTCCACGTTCAGGGACAGACAGAGGAGTCCTTGTTCTCTTTAGGTTGTGGCTGGGATCGTGTTTATGACTACATGGCTCACATAAGATGCAAGATGGACAAACACTGCACACAGAAGAAGGAAAATGTTTCATAATAAGCTTTACATTTGACAACCAGTAATTCGTTTTTTTTCAAATAGTGTCTGCTTATTAAATATTTTTAAAGAGTATCATTTGTAAGACAAGTTTTAGGACATTCTCAAATGCTAAAAAGAGGAAACTCGAAGATGGTGCAGGAGATGACAAAGGTGAGTTTTCCTGCCTAATAGAAAACAGCATCTTGATTTTGGCAAGTGACTCAAATAAATTTGAAACGCATTGGTACCAAAACACTTCCCTACATTATCCTGTTGCCCTGTTCACTTCTGGTATTAAGATGCGTTTTGTGAATCCGATCTCAAGTTGACAACACTATATACAGGTGTAAACAGGGTTTAATACATTTTGAGTTTATCTACTCGACCACCTCCAGATGTAGTTGAAAATGTGTTAGATTAAATGGTAATGTCTCGCCTTTCTGTTTGTAGTTGGTGGGACCAAGGTCTTTGTCATGCCTGGTGGAATGATGAAAAGCAATGGCAAGCTGGTGGAGCTGATTGAAAAAGTCAAGCCTGAAATCAGAACTCTCATAGAAAAATGCAACACGGTAAGGCCATGTAACCAAAATCTCAGACATGCTCTCACTCTTTAAAAGTGTTGTAGATAAATGTAATTTCCTTTGTTTTTTAGGTCAAGATGTGGGTTCAGTTGTTAATCCCAAGAATAGAAGATGGCAACAATTTTGGCGTCTCAATTCAGGTACGGTGTCACATTTTTCAGGTCTTCATTTGCTACACTGAAAGCCTTGTAACAACATGAGCTGCATTTGCTGTAGGCAGATATAAAAGAACAAGCAGTGATTCCTCACAATTTGCTGTAATTGTTTTGTCATTTAAAAGAAATTATTCCTTATCTTTGGTCCTGTCCCTGAATGTCAAATGAAAAAGAAATTGTCAGCCATTTAGTTGGAGTTGTGATTCTGTTTGTCTTCATAACAGGAGGAGACGGTAGCTGAACTCAGAACAGTGGAAGGGGAAGCGGCTTCTTTCTTGGATCAGATATCCAGGTACGACACATCAATGTTAGTCAAATTAAGAATTAGACACTTTAGTGTTCCTTCATTTTTTGTTTTACAGGTACTATATCACAAGGGCAAAGCTGGTATCCAAAATAGCAAAATACCCTCATGTTGTAAGTTGTATCTAAAGTACACGCATACCATTTAGATCAGGAATTCAGTAGTTATTTTATATATGTATAATATATATTTTGATTTATAGGAGGATTATCGTCGCACGGTTTCAGAGATTGATGAGAAAGAATACATCAGCCTCAAGATCATAGTGTCAGAACTGAGAAACCAATATGTAAGTATTGCTATAACTGTAATAATGCAAATTATTTTGAAGATTCTTTATTTTGATGTACAGAAAGAAGTCAGTATGTATGTGCTGTCTGGGAGTTGTTGTGATAACTGATTTAATAAAATGCAATTGTCTTGCAGGTAACGTTACATGACATGATCCTGAAGAACATCGAGAAGATCAAGAGGCCGAGGAGCAGCAATTCGGATGCTCTGTACTAAGATCCCCCTTCCCTTTCATTCTTGGCCCGTTGTTCCACCATTTGGAGCTAGCTTTTGCCTTCAGGTGGTTTTAGAGCAGTCCTGTCACCCATTATACCCAGGCCAAGAGAAGGACCGCTCAATCCGGCCTGATAGTACATGCCATTTAGGATAGAATTGTAAAATATTGTCACTATTTTAAACCCTTTAAAATGAGCCCATTTTGATTTTTCTTTTTGTTTCTTAGCGGACAGTATAAATGTATAAAGGCAGAGCCTGAACATGCGTCCCGAGGAAACTGTCTCAGATTTGTTTTTCTTTATTTAATTAAAGAAGCGTTTCAACAGTGGATTTCATTTATTTTTGTGCAAAGCCAAATTCTATGTAGTTCTCCATTTCAAGTGTTTCTGAGCCTAGTTAAGGGATTATGGATCTACCCAGGAAGGTCGGTTTCTCCGGTCGAGCAGCAGAGAAGCTCTTATTGATGCTGTATTTCACTAAAGCAGGTTACGTTGTTCACCTGAAATGTACATGTAGGCTGAAGTGGAAGCGAGGCAGTTATTGTACAAGATTTTATTTGGAATGTGTGCTGACAGTTATTACGTGGTGGAATATTATATTTTCATCTGAAATAACTGCTTCATCAAATTCTGGAAGCTTTTTATGGTTTCTTTTTGTCCAGTTTTGAGAGTGATACATTTTGCCGAATAAACTATTGTTTTTACAATACATTTAAGGCACGTCATTAACTGCTGTTCTTGTTGTGCTTTTTTTTACTCGTTATTATCCATATTATAGAACTAATTTGATTTGCAGTCCCTGTATGAATATAAGTAGTTAAGTTTTACACAAAAAAAGTACACAAGTCCAAAGTGGCAAGGCTTTTTATTTTACTTAAACTGTGGTATGACAGGTTATTTCCATGGAGTAATATCAACTGAAATGGCTAGTAGAACACTGAACTAAACGATCTCAAATAGAAATCCAGGTAAGAAGACCTTTCAACATACTAAATAATAACTTATAATAATGCTTCTTTTGTAGTCACGGCCTAAATTGTAATTTTTTTTTTTTTAATTCAATAATTTATGCTGGTGAAATACAACACAGACTTTATGTGATAAGTGATAAGTTCTTGCACTACTAACATTTTTCTCATGTATACCATTTGCAGAAATGTGACTTATGTTTGAACAAATCAGAAAACCGTGACAGATTTAGACAAGCCTCTTAGTGTACACTAATCATGCAATATATAACAAGGCTTGTATACAAAAAAAACTGATTTGGTCTCAGGGTTTAGGTTCTAGAAATGAACTAAAATGCCATTTTACATTCTAATCTAATCATTGCCAGTTTCCAAACCATGACAGGTGTTGAAGTGTTATAACACTGAACATTCTTTGATCTTCACAAAAAGCAAACCTAGAAGAGAAAAATAATTAACACCAGTTTGAAGAATATACTCTAAATGTGTGAATCTAAAATAATGCTGCCATTTCTTTGTAGTTGCAATAATTTCCAGCAGGTGTCAGCATGGAGGGATTGGATTTAATGCTGAAGCAATTTAATAGATAGATCCAATATATGACAATTAGACAATTTCTCACTCTCAGTTTAAGTTGAGTTTCTTAATCTCATAAGCTAAGTAATCGTGTAGAATGAGCCTGTGAATGTAAGTACCTCATAGAATATAAGCAGGATGTAAAAACTCCTTGGGGACTATGCCAATAGCACCATCCAGCTCTCCGATCCACCATCCATGGATGTTATATTCCTAGTTTAAACAGAAATACAAAGATTTGTGTGAGGATTTTGTCGATGATCAGAAGACACCGGCGTACAATTATTTTTCAACTGATTTACAAACCCGATTCCAAAAAAGTTGGGACACTGTACAAATTGTGAATAAAAACAGAATGCAACGATGTGGAAGTTTCAAATTTCAATATTTTATTCAGAATACAACATAGATGACATCAAATGTTTAAACTGAAAAATTTATAATTTTAAGGGGAAAATAAGTTGATTTTAAATTTCATGGCATCAACACATCTCAAAAAAGTTGGGACAAGGCCATGTTTACCACTGTGTGGCATCCCCTCTTCTTTTTATAACAGTCTGCAAACGTCTGGGGACTGAGGAGACAAAGTTGCTCAAGTTTAGGAATAGGAATGTCCCATTCTTGTCTAATACAGGCTTCTAGTTGCTCAACTGTCTTAGGTCTTCTTTGTCGCATCTTCCTCTTTATGATGCGCCAAATGTTTTCTATGGGTGAAAGATCTGGACTGCAGGCTGGCCATTTCAGTACCCGGATCCTCCTTCTACGCAGCCATGATGTTGTAATTGATGCAGTATGTGGTCTGGCATTGTCATGTTGGAAAATGCAAGGTCTTCCCTGAAAGAGACGACGTCTGGATGGGAGCATATGTTGTTCTAGAACTTGGATATACCTTTCAGCATTGATGGTGCCTTTCCAGATGTGTAAGCTGCCCATGCCACACGCACTCATGCAACCCCATACCATCAGAGATGCAGGCTTCTGAACTGAGCGCTGATAACAACTTGGGTTGTCCTTGTCCTCTTTAGTCCGGATGACATGGCGTCCCAGTTTTCCAAAAAGAACTTCACATTTTGATTCGTCTGACCACAGAACAGTTTTTGCCACGGTCCATTTTAAATGAGCCTTGGCCCAGAGAAAACGCCTGCGCTTCTGGATCATGTTTAGATATGGCTTCTTTTTTGACCTATTGAGTTTTAGCCGGCAACGGCGAATGGCACGGTGGATTGTGTTCACCGACATTGTTTTCTGGAAGTATTCCTGAGCCCATGTTGTGATTTCCATTACAGTAGCATTCCTGTATGTGATGCAGTGCCGTCTAAGGGCCCGAAGATCACGGGCATCCAGTATGGTTTTCCGGCCTTGACCCTTACGCACGGAGATTGTTCCAGATTCTCTGAATCTTTGGATGATATTATGCACTGTAGATGATGATAACTTCAAACTCGTTGCAATTTTTCTCTGAGAAACTCTTTTCTGATATTGCTTCACTATTTTTCGCCACAGCATTGGGGGAATTGGTGATCCTCTGCCCATCTTGACTTCTGAGAGACACTGCCACTCTGAGAGGCTCTTTTTATACCCAATCATGTTGCCAATTGACCTAATAAGTTGCAAATTGGTCCTCCAGCTGTTCCTTATATGTACATTTAACTTTTCCGGCCTCTTATTGCTACCGGTCCCAACTTTTTTGGAATGTGTAGCTCTCATGAAATCCAAAATGAGCCAATATTTGGCATGACATTTCAAAATGTCTCACTTTCAACATTTGATATGTTATCTATATTCTATTGTGAATAAAATATAAGTTTATGAGATTTGTACATTATTCCATTCCTTTTTTACTCACAATTTGTACAGTGTCCCAACTTTTTTGGAATTGGGTTTGTAGTTCAAAGGTAATACATTGGATGAATTTCATTGTATTAGATACAAAATAAAATAAACACATTATAATAGACTGACTCTTCTTAGCCATTTTTGCATATATATTGTATCCAAATATGTTCAATCTATATTCATAATCAGTCTTCTGTCATAGGAACATTAAGCGTAGCCACTTAGGAACTGATGCATGTGTGATGAGGATTTTTATCTGAGGAATCACAGAAAATTAAATGCTGTGGCGAGAGAAGGTACTTATGCTGTTCTTAAGGGTGTTTACTTAGTTGTATGGATCATCAGGGCTTTAAAACTGCACATAAAAACAAAGTATCAGGATGTTTACAATAGAACAAAATTTCATGCACCTGCATACACCCATTCGAATGCAAATATAAATGTTAATTCAAATCTTAAAACAGATTTAACCATTTCTATGGTAATTAAAAAAGTGTGTGGTGAATCTGTTGATAGAAGTTAGAGACAATGATTGCCACTAGAGATATTGACATAAGTTTGGGCACTAGTTTAATAGTGTTTGGATAACATTGGTTCTTGGAGGCCTTAAGCGAAGCAGAAGAAATTTCTATTCTTTTCTTGAAGCTCCATGTTTTTCCGCCATAACATTCTCTTGATTCACTCCTCTCCAGATTCAAAAACCTTTAAGAGATATTCCAGGCCAAAGCTCTTCAGAGTAAGAGTGGAGAGAGCCCCAGATCTGGCCTTTAATGAATGAAGACCGATTCAGGTGGACAGGGGTTTATAAATGAAGAGATTAAAGAACACGAGCTACACTGATAGTGAAAGACTGAAGTGTTTTAAGAGCTTTAGTATTCTAGCAGCACACACTGTACATTTAGACATGATGAGCATGTCATCCATCCGCTGCCTGCTGAGGAGAGTAGGAACTAATTACCTTCCTCTCTTTAAGCACACCCACAGTGCTGAGAGCCTAATGTAGTCCTCAGCCCATGCAGATGAGCCGCTTTAATGATACTATACGGAATAAAATCCATCTGGACGGTGAGCTCAATGCCGTTGTGGCATCAACGCCTCGGTATAGCAGTACATCCAAGAACTTGAGCTCTTTGTTTGAGACGCATGCAGCTATGCAGACGGGGATTGTTGGAGGTGTAGATTGATGTTCTCATATGACAGTTCAGTAAACAAGAAGTTAATATTGAATAGCTTACATTTTAGACCCAATATTGCCAGAAGGGACCATTCACACAGGGCGTTTTGCATTTTAGTGCACAGCTTTTCCATTGTTTTTCTATGCAATAATGTACTAGACAGACATGCTTGACTGTTGCGCTCACATCTTGCCTCTTTTCCAGAATCTTGTGCATGTCACGTTGTTTTAAAAATGTGGCACTCAAGTTGAATAAATCATTGTTTTGAACAAATCGGTTGTGTAAATTATTCAATGTTTGCTCATGAAGATGGGCTGTGTTCGAAATCACCCTCTATACCCTTATGCAACGCACTAATTGAAGGAACAGCCTTTTTGTAGTGGTGTCCACAAATAAAGTGGACATTATCACGTGCACTCATTTATTCCCATAATGCACCTTAGTAATGAGTGCACAACAAATGTATTCTGAACAGTGTATTATATTAGTGGAGTAAAGAAAAGAATAGTTACTGAGGGTTTAAAGGGTGATTCACTTATTTTGTCCTAAATGAATAAATGCTTTGAATGAATCAACTGAGGAAATTATTCACTGACTCAATCATAAAGAAAGTCAGAATCAGTCAGTGGCTGCGTTTGAAATCGCATACTTTCATGAGTAGATACTTATTTTGAATGAGTAATTCCTCCATGACTGCTAAAAAAGTATGCTTTGCTTTTGTGTGTAGTATGAATGTATTCCGGATGTACTACATTCGCCATGTTGTCATTATCACTAGACCTACCAGTGTCAGTTGCGTCACTTCACTGCTATTCACAACTCCTCTCCCATGGCCTCATGGGATAGTAAAGTGTCAATCGTATGCTTCTTTTGTCACCTACTATATAGTAAGGAAGTATGCTATTTTAGATGCAACCATCATTTCAGAACAAACTGATTGAGTAAATGATTAAATGACATACAAATGTGTACCATTTATTGAATCGTGTCACTTGTTCGAGTGAGTCATTGAATCATTTAATAAACCAATTTGTTCAAAAACAGACAGTTGTGTGTCGCCACCTACTGGTGTAATGAAGTAACCTGCAGAAAGAGTCACTAAAAAAATCCCCACCACTAATGCACAGATCGACAGTATTTCTGGCAAACACAAGCAGAATGTTAAAACAG